ATCTAACAGCAGTATCTTTGAAAACCAGAATTTTCTGTATTTTGTCAGTCCTGACGATCGCTGTAGAACAGCGAAAGCTCGACTTCATATAAAGTGTATTAACCATCTAACAGCAGTATCTGCCTGCATTTTCCACATTATTACTGTACTAATACCCAGCATTATGAGCAAGATGGATAGTATGTTAGTAATCCAAAAAATAATTTGCGGAATCTCCATCACATATCTTCACTGCAAACCCTTAATTCATTTTTGTGGGTATCGGCTATGGGACATCATAAGCAGAAGAACATGCCTCTGTCAAGTGTGAACAAGCTTCTGCTTTGGTTTCTGGATATTTCCTAGTGTGAACCGGCCCTAAATGATCAAACTCTTCTAGCTGAGTCAAGCGAGATAAACAGTGTTCTTCATCAGAGTTATCCTCTACAGACGACAAGACAATACGGGATATAGGTTCAAAAACGAACGTAGACGAAAATTATCAATCAAACAATCAATCAATAAACACCTTGAATTGTTAGAAGGATTCCTGACATATTTTAGTAAAGCAGACGAGAAACAATTTTAAGCGGTATTACTGAAGCGAGTTCTTTCGAATACTCCAGTTTCGAGTTCATAGCGCAAAACCGCTGCTTTATTTGACAACAGATTCTCTTGCGTAAAGACCTGACCAAACACAAAAGAGAGCACGAGAAAATGTCGTTATTACAATAGCTTTGAAAATTTGCATTTTCCCCGAGTTGAGACTAACCCTGTATGATAAGTATACACTTATTTCAAAAAACGTTGTCGGGGAGAACGGCGAGCGGCGATTTGTCGAAGGGAGATTGCACGACCGAAAGGGACTATGGTTATACTGTTTTGACAAACAAATTTTCACTTATTGGATTTATCTTGCATAGAAATGGAGACTAAATGGAGCAAATGTTTACCACAGATCATCTTACAGTATAAATCAGTTGTTATTTATCATCGAGTACTAAAACCCATGGCTACTTTCGGTCGTGTAATCGCCGTTCGACAATTGACATTCGCCATTTTATCCGACAACCTTTTTTAAATACGATATAGAAATGAAAGAAAGTTATAGTGCTWAGAAGGAGGCAMTTMCGGGAGAAGTCCCTTAGGAATAAATTCGGAAAAATTAATTTCCGACCTCGCTGGGATTCGAACCCACGACCTTCGGATTGTACACCGATGCTCTACCAGCTGAGCTACAAGGCCAGACTGGGAGCAGGTCGGGGTGAAATAGATGTTAAGGTTGCGGTAATAGAATAATGTAAAGATATGAATATGAAGACCGCATGGCACTATGATAAACACGATATAGAAATGAAAGAAAGTTATAGTGCTTAGAAGGAGGCAATTCCGGGAGAAGTCCCTTAGGAATAAATTCGGAAAAATTAATTTCCGACCTCGCTGGGATTCGAACCCACGACCTTCGGATTGTACACCGATGCTCTACCAGCTGAGCTACAAGGCCAGACTGGGAGCAGGTCGGGGTGAAATAGATGTTAAGGTTGCGGTAATAGAATAATGTAAAGATATGAATATGAAGACCGCATGGCACTATGATAAACACGATATGAAATGAAAGAAAGTTATAGTGCTTAGAAGGAGGCAATTCCGGGAGAAGTCCCTTAGGAATAAATTCGGAAAAATTAATTTCCGACCTCGCTGGGATTCGAACCCACGACCTTCGGATTGTACACCGATGCTCTACCAGCTGAGCTACAAGGCCAGACTGGGAGCAGGTCGGGGTGAAATAGATGTTAAGGTTGCGGTAATAGAATAATGTAAAGATATGAATATGAAGACCGCATGGCACTATGATAAACACGATATAGAAATGAAAGAAAGTTATAGTGCTTAGAAGGAGGCAATTCCGGGAGAAGTCCCTTAGGAATAAATTCGGAAAAATTAATTTCCGACCTCGCTGGGATTCGAACCCACGACCTTCNGTTTAAAAGTATCTGTGCTTGGCCGATGCAGACACGTTGTGCCGTTTTATTGATGTTGTTGGACTACAAGAACAAGAATTGATCCACTTTGYTGACTTTAGCATTTATAATCTTTTTTAATAATTTATTTAAAAAATATATTTTAACGACAGCCCTGAAACTTTGCAAATTTTCCTAAAATTTATCTATGAGCACAATAACCTTATTGTGGATTAGAAATGTATGTAATGTATAAAGAACGAGAGAACGTGGGAAGGCGAGGATCTTTAGCCCCGATACAACACGCTCTCGAGTTCTGTATACGGCTTATCAAACTTTATAATAATTCTCATTTTAATGTTTTTTAAAAAATTGAATATCTTGCTGCATTTCATCGATTAAAATTATCAACGTATGTCGCCGTTATTAAATATTCCGGCGTCAAATATAACTGTTTGTATGGCGCCTTCATGAAACGACTGAACTATCAAGGGAATTTCTAAATGATTAATTGAAAGTGGAATTGTCACATTAGAAGCTTTTTATACTTACTCCTGAAAATTGTTTATTTTCCTATTGTTTTTTAAAGAATGTGCTTGCCAAACTATAGAAAATTAGAATTGACAAAAGAATTGCAAGATATTAGTCATTCATAGTTAGCAAAAAAATTAAGTCAGTTGGCTTCCATTTCTCCCTCGAAGACATGTCGAGTCGATTTAGGAGACCTAAAACTCAACATAAAGGAAAGCGCTATTGTTCGGGGGAGTGTTCCACAAAGTATTCAACAAAATGGGCCGCAACCTTATTTTGGACCGGCAAAAAGACCGTGCGCCGAACAAGAAAGCCATAAATGGGACCACCAGTTTCAGTTTCAAAAACAGCCAGTCATTCCAGGATATGCTGACGCTGGTCTTGATGACATGAACGCCGAGTCATTGATTTTTTGGATGGTCAATTTCATACAAGACAAGGCGGCGCCAAGAAAAACAGAGAAGCTTATCCGACGATCGAGTAAATCGCGAGGAAACGAAACGGCATTGCTACAATATTGATTTTTCAGTGTGTTTTAATTGTGTTTGATATTTGCACGCGAGTTTAGACATTTTGAATATTTTCAGGGAAGTGCGGGGCTGATTATTACTGGCAACGTTTTCCTGATACAGACATAATTAATAAAACATTAGTTCTGTATCTTCATTTATCGAACGTTAACATAGTCGACTTTTCATTTTTACAAGTCATTCCTCTCTGGTTAACACGTTTTTTTAATTGAATCAGACTTTAATACTTCTAATAGTCTCCTCCACGCTTTCATGCGCCATCTTGAAAAGTAGCCGTACCTTTACATTAAAAATAGATGCTGAATTGTTGCGTGAAAGTAGGTTTTTACCATTGTATCATTATCATCGTACTTTACACTCCATCATTAACTCCAGCATATAACGTTATCAGTTCGGTAATGACGACTTGATTCATTTTTAGAACTGTTTTATACATACTAATGAAACAAAAATCAAATAGAATACAAAGATGCTTACGGTAATGATTAAAGACTACCTATCGGTTGCAAGGCTTGCTAGGTAAGATTTTTGCTTCTCGTTTTATTTCAACATCTTTTTCTCTTTTGACTCTTCTTTGCATCTAGATTAATTTTTCTTCTATCTTAGTTCTTGGTTATAGTGTGCAAGAAATGGCTGCTAGAACAAGCAGTTCATGACAAAATAATCTCGAAGAAAGCTCATAACAAAATAATTATAAAACACAACAATAAAAAAGAGAAACACCACACCTTTTTAAGCCTTTTTAAGCCTACGGGCCTGGATTTCAAAAAACATCTGGGTATATTTTTTATGGGGTAGTGCAATTCATTTGAGAACTTTTAATTAAACTTTTTCAGCTCTTTTTATATTGTGGAGAATCAGTCGAGAAGAGRCGAATTGTGGAATGAAAGTAGGTAGTTTTTTATCATTGGATGCTTACTATTATCATCATACTTTACATTCCATCAACTCTGAAAAACCTTCTTAAGGACGTGATTACAGTTAGTATTATTATTTTTATTTATTTAAAGTCCTTTCAGGTCCAGCATTTAACGTTATCAGTTCAGTAATGACTTAATTCATTTTCAGACCTGTTTTATACATACTAATGAAACAAAAATAAAATAAAATACAACAGATACTTATGATAATGATTAACTGAAGAACTACCTATTGAATGCAAGGCTTGCTTGATTTTTGCTTCTCGTCTTTTTCATCATCTTGCTCTTTTGGTTCCTTTTGCCTATAGATTAATTTTTCTTGCATCTTAATTCTTGTTTGCCTTTCATACAATTAAAAAAAAATTGAATACATATTCAGTTTGGAATTCTTTTTTTATCTTAAACGCTTCGAGTTACAATGATCCAATGATGTCTAAGCTCGAAACTGTACCATCTTGCACCAAAAGCGGACTTCTATATATTTTAGAGCTATATATTTTAGAGCTGAGAATGTTACTATTTAGCTAAATACAAAGCTAGGCTACCTCGTTCTCAAACCATCGTAAAATGCTTGTTTTTAAAAACGTTCTTTTAAATTAAAAATTGCTTCTTAAAAAGTGTTTGCTGATTAAAGAAAGGAACATAAATGAAGTATATTTACACTATGAAAAAAAATCAGTTGATCTGATAGGGTTGACCTAATAAGTTCTCCTCGCATTGTTCTCTTTTTAGATCTTATCAATCATCATGATCATTAAGCTTGCGCTTGCTTTTTTCTCCGTGTCAGCGGTGGTAAGTTGTCCTCTAAAAATTAAATATGTACTACTCCTTTCAAAAAGATATATAGAACAAAATCACGGGATAAATAAATAATAGATAACGTATATTTGCAATTTATGTTATTTAAAAATTCATCATAAAGGGTTATGTGGGGAGAAACGTATTTTTCATGAAATAACATACACCATGCACTAGAAATACTATTTTCACATTATTAAAACGAACGCAACACAACGAGCTCAAAATCGAGTTTTGTTATTATTATAATAAYATGTTTTAGACTTTTTTTATCAAAAGCGAYATCAATTGATGATTTTGTTGCTTGGCATATTATTCTGCAATCGCTTCATTAAAGGCTTTAATTTGTGTTTGCTTGTTTCTTCGTAGGTTTCATCTCCGCTCAAAGAAGTTGAGGGACACGTTTCGGCTGACACAGCTCGAGAACGTATGCTCCTTCCTGTGAAGTTGATAATGTTGCGTTTGCATTTTCTATCTTCATTACTCTCCCCTTCATTTTAATTTGCCATCTATTTTATATGCATATTTTTTACAGAAAAGTGTTCGCTACTGAAACTATCGGCAAATGGATGTTATCGAAGTAGACACAAGACAAGACTTAGATACTATACAGACATGATGTTCTCTGATCGAGGTAAAATTAAATGGAAAAACTGGAATCAATACATGGCTGACCTGGTTTGTCGATGCGCCAAGGCTGCTATTCATAAAGCTGGGACTGCATCTTTTGCAGTTGAATTTTATGGTAAGATATCAATAGTCCAAATGCAGGTTCTTGGTGTAAGTACTGGTATACTGGAGATCTTGGGACTGCCCATGAGGACAGGGGATACCATAGGCCAGTCCTGGACATGTGTGTGGCTTACAGTTCTTTTTCCTTTACAATTTTTCCGGCAGTTCTGSTGATTTTATCTTGCTAGGAGTAAAAATAAGAGAAACACCGGACCTTAAGCTTGTGGGGGCCTCGTCCCATCCGCTTGCAGCTCGCAATTTTATATGCCCATAAATAGGTCTCCCACTCATATTTTATATGTTACTTAAAACGCAGTTTAAATCAGTAAAGTGGTAGAGAGACTAGCAAAAATAGTAAACAATTTGAAACATTGATGCTTACGAAGTTTGTTCTTATTTTACTTTTACTGTCTCTTTCAGGAGAGTGTTGGGCAAAAGCGAATAAGAAATTAGCAAGTACCCCTTTTGAGGAATCTGATCAATGTGTTGGCAAAAACAATAAGGCATGTCCCAATGCCCGTGCTGAAGGGTACTGTGTTGGAAAGGCCAACGCTTTCTATTTATATACCATAAGTAAGAATGAATGTTTGGATGTTTATCTTCTAAGGGCCGGATTCAGGGAAGGGGAAAGGGGGAATTTTTTATCAATTAAAGTCCGTTGCTCTAGATTCCTTATTGTAACTATTAAGAATTTTCCACTTTCTATAATTTCTTCAAAGACGATAATGAAGAAATTTAAAATAATTAAACCGCACATTTTCAATGAAAAAAAAATATTGTCACGTTTTTTATCAAATGATAAAAAAAATTATGACTAAAATGCTGCGGTCTTCTTTGCCAGATGATCCTTGTGCTGAAAAACCCTGTCTTAACGGTGGAGCTTGTACTRGTAAATATGAAGGGACTTTCGAATGTGAATGCAAAGATGGCTATACTGGACATCTCTGTGACCAAGAGTAAGGTTCTAAGATTTTTAATGGCCGTCGGATTTAAACGATGTGATTTGTCGCGCGAAACGATACTTCCCTTTGAGCGTGAGTCTASTTACAAAGACATGAAGCAGTTTATGGTCCGCATAAATCTGAACGTATGATTTGGTCGCGTGCGAGTCAGGCATAGAGTGAATGTCGATCTGCACATGGGTTGGATTAAGCGAAGGACGGACACACCCTTCTGGTCGTTAAAGGATTATATATTACATATTATATATTCATATATTAAATGAAGTTGATTAAAGGGACACTGTCAATGGATGACATGCGCAGTAACAGTCTAACCTCTAACGGACTTTGAAAGTATTACCTTCGAGGTAAATCATTTTGTGGTGCTTTTGACACACTTTGGAATATTCTAGATCTGTTTACGTTTACGAGCTGATTTATGTCGCGCCAACTTGGAGTCATAAACTTGAAAACACCAGCCTAGTGTTTTCAAGTTTACTCGCGCATGCGTGCCATTGACAGTGTCCCTTTAACTAATTTTCAATAGCTATCTTTATTCATTTAACAWCAAAAAATGCATTTGAATCTTAGAAAGCTAAACCGTTTTCTTTCTGTAGGATTGAGTCCCAGTGATGTACGTCAAAGATCATCTCACTCGATGCTAACCAGATTCAGAAATAAAAAGCTTTCAAACATGTATGTGTTCATGTTGTGTTTYAATATATTGGCTGGTGAAAGCTACGACTTCTAGAATCCTTTTAGCGGATTATGACATAACAAAAAAAAAATTAGGTCAAAATTGCCATTTTGTCCTTATCGTAAGRACATATAAACTATCTGCATTTATCATATAATATCCTTGAAATACTGTATTCGCTACGCGCGTTGAGAGGTCTTTTGACGCTCGAAGATAAAATCCGTATCAACGCGCGCCCATGAGATATCCTCTACTTCTTTCTTTTGAAGACTTGTTAGCTACACTATTAAACTCAAAAAAATACATTTGTGTTGCCTTTATATATTGAAAGTGAATAAAACCATTATTTTACAATTTTATTTTCATGGATAATAGTCTCCTTCATGGTTACCTGCGCCATCTTGAAAGGTAGCCGTGCCTTTGCATCGAAGCGAGACGACCGTTGAGCGTGTAATGATAGAAACCTTTTATCACACCTACAGRCAATTATTTACAGGTTTCTATCATTGCACGCTCAACGGTTGTCTCGCTTCGATGCAAAGGCACGGCTACCTTTCAACATGGCGCACCTAACCGTGAAGGAGACTATTCTATGATGAAACAAGACGCTTGTCAGCGTGCACTCGGGGTTCTTTTTAGCGTTGTCTCTTGGTTTAATGATACATAGAATATTGGCAACGTCTTTCATTTGAATAACTATAACAATTATATTTTTGGTGGCGCCACATTTTGTTGTGCGATTGTCATCAATGTAGCTAAAAATTTCTTTCCGAGGAAAAAAAATCGTACAAGAATATTTATTTAGAAGAACGGCTCCTTCTGAATTATACTCATGTCGGTATAGTAGTTATAGCTTTGAATATCAGTAGCTTTCTATTAGTTCATGATTGGCTTTGGATAGATTAAATGGCTTGTGTATCATAACTTAAGTCACAATAAGCTTGATAAATTCGCGGTATTTTTCAAAAAGCCCATTCCGAAAACGGTCGACATCTTTTAGTGTGTCTATACCGCGAATTCTTTGTGGATTTGTAAGTGATTTGAGCGTATTTTTGAAGAAGAAGCAATACCATAAGTTCATCGACGAAGAAGCTGCTGCAATTAGCACTTGACGCATGGGACGAGACAAGACAGGCTAGGAACGCCTGGCTAGTCTGGCCGCGATTTGGCGATGAATGCGAAAAAATAATATTATATTATAATAACGCCGAAACCTAAACTCGCGGTTCCACAGGAACCCCGAGTAAAAAATAACACATGGTCGCTTTTAAACGCAGTTAAAATTACGGGAAAGTTACCTATATAATCTATAAGCAGCAGTATATCAGATAAAGAAAAAAATAACCTGCCAAATCCATAAATGTTAGTCGTTTCGATTCGACGAGCGACAGGGGATTGCTGCAGCGTTGTTTCGCACAAGTTCAAGCGACAAGCAATCTACTAGAACACTAAGTTTATGTACTATAGATTCTCATTCACACTGTGATACCCACAAACGAACTCGGAATCACTTTTTGAATAGTTAAAAAACAAGGAGTATTTTATCACATCTAATGGTCTATGTATGTGAGCAAATAGACTCATTTTATTGGTCTAATAACTCATTAAATATGTATGAGCCTTTTTAAAACCAAAATGATGACGAAGATGTCCAGGCCTCTATTCTGATATAACCAATTATATCCCACTTCATCGATTGAACTGTCACTTTGGGTGATTGACATTAAGTTTGGTTCGGGATTCATAGCTCAGGTATCTAAATCGGTGTCAGCTACTGATCTTGGAAGTTGTGCAGGCTATAAGGTATGATTCCAAAAAGAATGTTAAATCTGATAATCCGTTCAGCATATTTCTATTTGTCATGATTTGTATTCCCAGGCAAGGCGTTCTGGCGGGAAGTCATGGTAAATGTTAACGGTCTCACTAAATGACTAGTTCACTAAACTTTAGCTAAAATGTGATCATATAATAGGACAGTAAGAAGATCCCCGACCGCTAATTAACGCTGCTCTTCAATCCCCTTCCTTTTTTTCTTTTTAATTTCCTCCTCGAGCTCCTGTTTTTAATCTCTCTTATTACTCTAGATTTTCGCTCGCCCTTTATTGCTGTTCTTGTCACTGTTCTTGTGTCATATATAGGAAACACAAGGCATTCTAAATTATGTAGTAAAACTGTTACTTAGATTATTTCAGTGAAAAGTATTTGCAGAATTTCGACAGTTTCGTTTTAATGTGTTATTTCAACAATGTAGATAAAACATTTGATAAAAGGCAGTTGTCGAGATATGCAAACTGCCAGTTCAAAAGGTAAAGAGGCTAGTTAGAGTGTTTGCATTAGACCCCCTTGTTTAATTAGCGTTTCTTAATCACCGTTTCTTCTGTCGATTACTAGTGATTGTAATAGAACAATAATAAGTATTTATTGTCCTTTTTAGCGAGAGTTAACTATACGATAAGAACATCTCCGCAATAGCAGAAATGAAGGGATCGATCCTAGCTATTAGGGACTACATAGAAAATAACATTGCTATATTTGTAATCTCGTTTTAAGATAGTGTAAAATATTTCAATCAGTTGAATGATAGTAGGAGCAGCCGACGGGGTCTGTTCTTCTAAATAACTGTTCTTGTACGATTTTTTTTTCTGGGAAAGGGATATGAGGTACTTGTTGACAATCTCACAAACAAATGTGGCGCCCTTCCTTCTACTATGGTAAAAAAACAGCTTAATTTTTTAGTTAGGAAATTTTAATTTTCCTGGTAAAAATTCTTAGAAACATAATTTTATTAAACTTGTAAAAAAAAGATGGTCTCAATGGCCGGGGTGGTACGCATCACGACTCACGGCTAAAAATTTGGCGATTTCACGACTCACGACTATTTTTTTGGAATCACGGTTAACTCGATTAAGAAATTTTTGAATTACGTTTTTCATTACTTTTTCCTTTTTTTCGTATGAATAGACTGCGTGACTTATTCGTGCGGACATGTGGATTTTCTCTTTCAAATAAGCCGAAATGCGACTATTTCCACGAAAAAAAGATTAATCATAAATTAATACGAATAGAAAACATAACTCGGCCACTCTGTTTAAAAATTGATTCTCGGTTGCGCAATCGCTGCGCTGTGAAAACCTATTATACGTTTAATGAAAAAAAGCCAATGAAAGCGCGCTTTAAAATATCACATTATAGAAATATATAGAAATAATTACTAAATGATTCTGGAGATATTGCAAACAATCATTAATGTAGGAAGCTAATCAAAGACAACAACAAAAAGAAAAAAAAA